TAGTATTTTAAGTGTAAACTTAACTGTTCAATGATGGGTTGTGCATTGGTGATTTGGTAAAGTGAATGGTAAGGGAAAATAACTCATTTGTGCTTAATTGTCATTGTATATTTTAAGACATTTTTTACTTATTAGAAGTATTTAATTTTAAAACAAAGTGAATTTGAGAAGAAATTTGTTGTCCATGAAGATAGTTTTAAAGTATGACTCAAAGATTAGCGGCAACATTGCACTAAGTGAAGAATGTCTAACTAGAACATTTGAGTGATGAGTTAGAGCTTTATTTCTTTCTTTCTTTCTTTTTTTTTTTTTTTTCCCGGTCGTGGGGCCTGAACTCTGGGCCTGGGCGCTGTCCCTCAGCTCTTCAGCTCAAGGCTAGTGCTCTACCACTTGAGCCAGAGCGCCACTTCTGGCTTTTTTCTTTTTTTTGCTTATGTGGTACTGAGGAATCGAACCCAGGGCCTCGAGCATGCAAGGCAAGTGCTCTACCACTGAGCCACCTTCCCAGCCCAGAGCTTTGGTTCTTATACAGTCCTTTTGAGGAGATAGAGATTTCTCAAACCCAGTACCTTGTGATATACTACTTAAACTTCTGTCTTCTTTCCATGTGGTTTTATGGACATAATTTTTTCTTGCTCATTTGATTTTCATTACAGATTTTCAAGATAGCTAGCTTTCAAGGTAATTTTGGTCTTGGGCAAAGAGTAGGGGATATGATTGTGAGTGAAGGAAACCTTAGATAAAAATAGCTTAGTTTAAAATTGATTACCTTATTTCCTAAAATATCAGCAATGATGTTGTATTTGTTTCTTTACCTTAAAAAAAACTTGGTTGCAATGGCTCATGCCTATAATCCTAGGTACTTCGGAAGCTTGAGAGGATTATAGTTTTAGGCACAAAAGTTTATGAGACCTCCATCTTAACCAACAAAAAATGAGGCATAGTGGTCTGTCCCTGTGTAAGAAGCATAAATAGGATCATAGTCCAAACTGACCAGGGCAAAAACTCAGATCCTATTCAAAGAAGTCAAAAGGACTTGTGGTATGGCTCAAATAGTTGACCACTTGCCTAGCAATTGGGAGTCCCTGGATTTTAAACTCTCTAATGTCCCCTCCCCCAATATACATGTATGAAAGAAAAAAAAGGTAAATAAATAGTGCTATATTTCACAATACGTTATTTTTTCTTCTTTTTGACAGTATTGGGATGTACCAGTATACCCAGATTTTTATTAGTTGAGATAGAGCCTCAAGAACTTTTTTTGTGGGGCTGGGAAAGTGGCTCAGTGGTAGAGTACTTGCCTTGCATGAGGCCCTGGGTTTGATTCCTCAGCACCACATAAGAAAAAAGCCGGAAGTGGCGCTGTGACTCAAGTGGTAGAACACTAGCCTTGAGCTGAAGAGCTGAGGGATGGCACTCAGGTCCAGATTTGCCCCACGACTGGCAAAAAAAAAAGAGGGGAGGGAACTATTTTGCTCTGGCTGGCCTCAAACCATCATCCTTAAGATCAGCCTTCTAAGTTGCTAAGATTAGAGTATCATGAGCCATCAAGCCTGGCCATATTCTGAAAATTTAGTAAACGTTTGATAGTGTGAACAGTTCTGTGACTGATGAACTATTTTGCATGTTGGGTTAATTATGGAAAATGTTTTTTTTTAAGTATTTGATCTTTTGGAAATAGAAAATAAACTTCATTCCCAAAACTTATTCCTGAAATTGTTTAAGATTTCCATATGTGTGTCTCACTTGCCTTTTTCTTTTCTGTTTCACATGCAGGTCATGGTAAAACTCCCAAAGATGCTGCATCAGTTCGTGCCACGCACCCAATACCAGCAGCCTGTGGGATTTACTATTTTGAAGTGAAAATTGTCAGTAAGGGAAGAGATGGGTAAGTACAATTTGGGTAGGAAAATCAGTTTGCTTTTTTGGTAATTATTTTTGTTCTGATTCATAAATTGATGATATAATTCAAAAGTTGTGGTCTTGAAAGTTTTGGTGTGCACAGGGTAGAACTGACTACTGCAGATTGGGTCTGGTTCTTATTAAATACTAGTTTAGGCTAAAGCTTGAGTTTGATTTCAACTGAGGTTTTTCTGGTAGGTTTACTACTAAAATAGAGAGTTGGGGGTTAAACAATAGGATAATGTCTCAATTGGATGACTTTTTTTTTTTTGTCAGTCGTGTGTCTTGAACTCTGGTCTTGGGCACTATCCCTCAGCTCTTCAGCTCAAAGCAAGTGCTCTACCACTTGAGCTACAGTGTCACTTCTGGTTTTCTGGTGGTTTATTGGAGTTTCACGGACTTTCCTGCCCGGGCTGGCTTTGAACCGAAGTCCTCAGATCTCAGCCTCCTGAGTAGCTAGGATTACAGACATGAGCCACCGGCGCCTGGCTTGGCTTTTTCTTATATTACCTATTTTCTACATTTTGTTGAGAAGCTAAATCTTCTAAAAGCTAGTGAGCCTAGTCATTAGGTGCTTTATAGGTTTTTTTGCAGTGGATAAAGTTTAGAATTTTTGGTTTCACTTGAAAAGTGTGTGTAGGTATGCTCTTGACTGAAAGCCTCATGAGTAAGGATGCGATTTAGAAGTTTTCAAAATAAGAACTCCCTGGTAGGTCCTGGAATCAACTTTGATATTATTGCTCTTCAATTTGGCATTGTTGTATGGTGTGTATGTACATCAGAATGATTTGTGGGACTATTAAAATATTCACTGCGGAAGTGGCGCTATGGCTCAAGCAGTAGGGCGCTTGCCTTGAGCTGAAGAATGCAGGGACAGTGCCCAAGCCCAGAGTTCAAGCCCTACCAAAAAAATAATAAATAAATAAATAAGTAAAATTTTCAAAGCTTAGGCCTTATCCCAAGAAGAACCTCATCAGAGTTTTCAAAAGTAGAGCTTTAGGCAAGACAGGCATTTTGAGAATGTTGCATGGGAATTTTGGTGCATACCTGTGTTCAAGGACTATTGAAAAATCAGTGGATCTAGCCTTTAGTGTTTCCTGATTCTTCATTATGATACCAAAGATTGTTTTAAGCATTTATCCAGCTACTAGGATAAAAATTGGGCTTGGTGTATAAGTTGACCTATCTATCTATCTATCCATCCATCCATCCATCCATCCATCCATCCATCTATCTATCTAATCATCTATCTATCTATGTTTGTCGGTTGTGGGCCTGAACTCTGGCCTGGGCCCTGCCCCTGAGCTCTTCAGCTCAAGGCCAGCACTCTACCACTTAAGCCACAGTGCCACTTCCGGCTTTTTTCTGCTTAAGTGGTGCTAATGAATCCAAACTCAGGGTCTCATGCATGCAAGGCAAGCACTGTACCACTGAGCCACCTTCCTAGCTAGCCCAAGTTGACCTATATTTGAATACCTATGTGGTCCTTCTTGTTTGTTTGTTTGCTTGGTTGTGGGACTTGAACTCTGGGCTTGGGCCCTCCCCCTCGGCTCTTCAACTCAAGGCAAGTGCTCTGCCACTTGAGTCACTGCACCACTTCCAGTTTTCTGGTTGTTTGTTGGAGATAAGAGTCTCATGGACTTTCCTGCCCTTGGCTGGCTTTGAACCTTGATCCTCAGATCTTAGCCTCCTGAGTAGTTGGGATTACAGGTGAGCCACTAGCGCCCAGCTCCAATAGATAATTCTTTATTTGCTAAACATATCATTGTCAGCAATATGAAAAGTAGAAAGTGAATTCTTGGATTACAGTAACAGCTTTTCATTTTACTTCCTGTTTTCCTAGCAAACCAAAGATAAAATCAGAGATACCAGTGATGATACAATGGTTGTGAAACTAGGTGAAATAAGTCACTTGGTTTCTAACTGTGTTAGCTGCATACTCAGGAAGCTTATTTATTTTTTTATTGGCTGTGCCAGTCCTGGGACTTGATGGTCCTTGAACTCAGGCCTAGGTACAGTCCTTGAGCATTTTTGCTCAAGGTGGTGCTCTGCCACTTGAGTCACAGCTCCACTTGGGGCTTTTTGGTGGTTAATTGGAGATAGTATCATGGACTTTCTTGCCCAATCCGGCTCATTCCATGATTCTCATATCTCAGCCTCCTGAGTAGCTAGGATTATGGCAGTTGGCAGTATTTTAACTCCATAATGCTGGTGTTGCTTATGATGATGCTCATGCTTCTCTTTACTTTTACTCTACTTGTCCTATCTTTTCATGATCTTGACCTTATTTTTTTTATGGTTGCAAATGCTCCCAGGAGTCTCAAATCTAATCCTGTATCCTAAGTTATTCCCTTGAGCTCCAGACAGATATAGCTATCTATGTTTGTATTTGGATGTTTCACAGGCATTTGGCTTGAAATCTTTTTTCTCAAAACCCACTGGTTAATGATTTCACTGTTGGTAAAACCTTCACCTTTTTTCTGTCCATCCCTAATGTCTCTTTTCCTTGATTAGGTTTGATAATTTTATTTTCTGTGTAAGGTTATTGTGTAGCTGGTCTTCCTGTTGTTCCATGTTTATTTCTGTTACTGTTTCTCTAATAGAGAACTGAGTTGTCTCTGTGTCTTTCTTGAGATCATTTGGAACATTTGATGCTTAAAGCTAAAATCTGAAACTTCTTAGCAAGGTGCTTTGTAACTACCTGTTCTGTAATTTTTTTCACTCTTGTAGCTGGAATCTTTCATCCTTCTACTTTTCCTTTTATTTGAAATTAGGTATATTTTACATATTGTGAAATTCATCTCTATTAGTGTGCAGTTCTGTGAGTTTCTACCACCACTATATTAAATTCCCTACTCTACTCCCAGAAAAGCCTTTTCCTTTCTTCAGCCCCTGATAACCGCAGATTTATGTGTTAGCATATAAAGCACTATGGAGTCATAGTATGCAGCTTTTTTCTCTGCCAGTCCTGGGATGTGAACTCAGGGCTTGGATGCTGTCCCCGAGCTTCCTTTTGCTCAAGTCTAGCACTCTACCATTCGAGCCACAGCTCTACTTCCACAGATTGTTTTGGTTGTGTAGTTGAGATAAGAGTCTTCCTGCTCCCTTTACCAGCACATATACTAAAATTGGCACTATACACAGAAGATTAGCATGGTCCCTGCATAAAGATCATACACAAATTTGTGAAGTGTTCAATAAAAAAGGAAAAAAGAAAAGAGCCTCACAGACTTTTCCTGCCCAGGCTGGCCTCTAACTGTGATCCTTAGATCTCAGCCTCCTGAGTAGCTAGGATTTCAGGATTATGTGAGCCACCAGCCACCTGGCTTATACAGTTTTTTAAGCCTGGCATTTTAGCAATCTTAGCATAATACATTTGAGATTCATCTCTGCTGTTGCATCTATTGGTAGAACACTCCTTTGTATTACTGATTGTATGGATGAGTGAACCGAGTTCATCAGTCTCCCACACTCCCCTCTCCTTTACTGGGGCTTGAACTAAGGTACATTCTACAGCTTGAGCCATATTTTCAATTTTTCAGGCCTAGATTTGTTTTTCTCTTTCTCTAAAATAATATTGTATCTTTTCTATGCCATGCCCCTAACCTTTGGCAGACTTATTTTATATGCTATTTAAGTGTCTCTTTACTAGTATATGACATATAACAAAGATCAGAACAGATTTGAAATGGTAGGCAGTATTCCTGTCTTTTTTTTTGTTTTTGTTTTTGGTCCGGTTGTGGGGCCTGAACTCTGGGCCTGGGTGCTGTCCCTCAGCTCTTCAGCTCAAGGCTAGCACTCTACCACTTGAGCCACAGCGCTACTTCCAGCTTCTTTTTTCTTTTTGCTTATGTGGTGCTGAGGAATCGAACCCAGAGCCTCATGCATGCAAGGCAAGTGCTCTACCACTGAGCCACCTTCCCAGCCCCTTCTGTATATTCTTGTATATTCTGTATATTCTTTATATCTCTGTAAAATTGTTGAACAGAGTTGTAAGTCCAGTTCTGTGCATTTTAATGGGAAAGAACAATTCATTTATAGAAGAAAGGCAACTTCCTATCTCTATTTCTTTTCTTTTTTCCATCCTGGGCCTGTGCTCTGTCCCTGAGGAGCTTTTTGCTCAAGGCAGTGCTCTACCACTTGAGCCATAGTGACATCTTCCAGCTTTTTCTGAATAGATTATTGGAGATAAGAGTTTTGTAGACTTTCCTACCCAAGATTGGCTTCAATCTGTGATCTACATCTCAGCCTCCTGAGTAGCTAGGATTACAGGTATGAGACAGTGGTACCTGGCTCTATCTCTAATTTTGACCAAATAATTTCTTTCTGGAGCTGTATTGAACATTAAATCAAATAATATGTTGGTTTTTTTTCCCCCTAAAATCCTAACATCTTTCTGAATAGTGGACCAGAAATATTAGCTGTTTTGGAAATCTTTTGTTTTCAATGATGCATGCTTTCCTGAGAGTTTATTTTACTTAAAATTGAATTATCTTTTTTGCAGGGTAGGGATATCAGTACTGAGTCTTGAACTCAGGATCTCATTTGACTTACTTGTTTAAACTAGTGCTCTAACACTTGAGCTATGCCTTCTGTTCAGTATTTTGTGGATTAATCAGAGATAGGGAATCTCAGGACTCTGATATTGGCTTCTAACCAAGATCCTCAGTGTCTTAATCTCCTGAGTAGCTAGGATTACAGGTGTGAGCTGCTGGCCCTGGAGCCTTAAGGTGAACGATCTTTTAAACTGTATTTATACAAGATTAGGACAGATGAGTAAATATTTGAATATAAGATCCTAGTGTTTTAGGAAAATCAGCTGTTACTGACAAGTTTTCTCACAAATTGGTAGGAATTTCATATAAATTGCTTCTTTACACAGAAAACAGAAGGGACAGATGGTTAATATTTTATGCACTTGAAAACACTTATTTCACCTATCATATACATTACTTCTACGTCTGTTGTGGAAAATTAGGACTATGACTATGATCATTGTTACTTGTATTTATATTTCCTAGAAAATAAGGCTTGAGGAAGTTTGTTTTATCCAAGTGAGAAGGAAAATGATGTTTAATTTTCCGAATTGGCTTTTCATTTACACTGGGCATCATTTTTGTGTGTTTTTAGTAAATAACTTTTAACTTACTAGGTTAAAATAGCCTGCCAAAATTTGTGATTAATTTGAAAATAAAATTCTGGGCTAGGTGTTTGTGGCTCATGCCTATAATCTTAGCTACTCAGGAGGCCTCTCAGTTTGAAGCTAGCTATCTCAAATTAATCAGCAAAAAGCTGGAAACAGATGTGTTCAAGTGGTAGAGATCCAGCCTGAGGCAAAAAAGTTAGAGTGAATGCTGAGTTCAAGCCCCAGAACTGGGACCAAGTGTGTGTGTGTGTGTGTGTGTGTGTGTAAAATTGACATTTCAAGAGAAATTTAAGAATTTAAGTTGCCTGATGAACATGATTTTTTTTTTTTTTTTTGTCAGTCGTGGGCTTGAACTCTGGGCCTGGGCGCTGTCCCTCAGCTCTTCAGCTCAAGGCGAGCACTCTTACCACTTGAGCTACAGCGCCACTTCCGGTTTTCTGGTGGTTTATTGGAGATAGGAGTCTCACGGTCTTTCCTGCCCGGGCTGGCTTTGAACCGTGATCCTCAGATCTCAGCCCCCTGAGTAGCTAGGATTACAGGCGTGAGAACATGATTTTTTTTATGGACATAGTTAAAAGGGGGTATTTCTTTGTGTTCTTATTAGTGATCAATAGATTTTTAAAAACGTTCATATTTTATGAAATGAACTTTCTCAGCTCAAGAATTTCATTCAAGTTTAATATTATATATATTATTTTTAGGCAATGGAGATCCAGTTAATTCTAAATGTTAAAGATAAAACTTACTTGAAAAAGTTTAGAATTATAATTTATTATAAGTGATATTTTCAGCTTTTCAAAGAAAACATTGATGTCATTCTTTGACAGTGATTCAGGAAAAGCTGGCAAAGTAATTAATCCTCAGTTCTTCTGTGGTGATAAACTCAGGAATATTGTTTTCAGAGTGTTCCTTCTCTGTTAACTGCCTAAGCTATTTTTTTAGGGGGAGTAAGAAATAAAGCTCAAGCTTCCTTTAAAGCCTTCTAGCTTTAAAAAGATCAAAAATGGAAAAACTGTTCTAGTTTCAGTTGACTATAGGCAGCTCATGGGAACCCAGATGGAAAGTGGGAACAAAAAGCAATATGTTAAATACTTGCTGAACACATTACATGGTCAACAGATGAGTATAAGAAAGATGATTCTATGCATGTCTGAAAGCATACTGAATGGTATCAAACAATTTGGAAAATGCAGTAGGGCAGGGCAGAGAACACATATTATGTGGCTAACTTTAGATTGTGATATTATATACTAAATAAAATTTAAACTATATTGAAGACCTGTGGGGAGTATAGAAGTAGTGGTATATACCGTATTTTATAAAATGAATTTGGAAGGCTTTGCTGCAGAAGAATGTTCCAGACTCTGTACATAGTTTGCATAATCTCATAAGAAGAATTGAAACGGTATAGTCTTTGGCAGAAGTATAGCTCATTGTTATTTGGGAAGATTTTAGTGAATTTGCAGAACGGAAATAGATATCGGAATACCTTAATGTTCTAAAGTAGAGTACTCAATATGTAGATAAAGCCCTCTTTTGAGGAGGAAAGTTAATAGGGTGTATTAGACAATATGAAATAAGGATTAGGGAAAGAATGCAGTATGTGATGAATGTGTGCAAGATGGCTACAAAGAGAAGTAGAAGTTACATTATTGAACTGTTGCTGAGGGATGGACAGTGATCGAATTAAAGAAAAAAATCAGGAATGGCTTAATTTGTTGATTACCTATTATGTGCCAGGTACCGTGTTGAGAAGGACAGGGTTGAGGCTGTAAACATGGCTGAAACAGAGTTACGCCAGAACTATACTGGTGAGACGAGAACTGGACATGTAAGTCTAGTAATAGACATATGAATATACTAGGGAAGTATGGAGGAAGAAGAGACCAACTCAGTTGATGATTAAGAAGATTTTATAGAAAACTTGTGTATAGTTACAGAAGACAATCACCTTTACCTTCTTTAGACTTGTTTCTTGGGTATCCTTCCTGAGATAGTGTAAGTTCTAAAAAGCTGGTAAGTTCTTTCTGTTGAGTATTCTAGTGGAGATTTTAATCTTGCCCCTGCTTCTCATTAGTTCTGTCACTTTGTATTTTTCAAGAGACTCTTATCTCATTTATTAAAAAAAAAGTTGCAACCTCAGGGGACTAAATTATTCATTTAGCATATTTCTTAGGGTGCCTGGCTCATAGCAGACTTGTGGCTTCTTGTGATGCCTGGTGCCTGGCATACTCATGTGCTTTGCTGCTGCTGCTGAGGTCCTCCTCAGCACACACACATTTTTGTTGTTGTTGTTGTTGTTATTGTTGGTTGTGGGGCTTGAACTTGGGGGCCTGAGTGCTGTCCCTGAGCTCTTTAGCTCAAGGCTAGTGCTCTACCACTTTGAGCCATAGTACCACTTCTGGTTTTCTGGTGGTTAATTAGAGATAAGAGTCCCACAGACTTTCCTGCCTGAGCTGGCTTTGAACCACAATCCTCAGATCTCAGCCTCCTAAGTAGCTAGGATTACAAGTGTGAGGCACCAGCTCCTGGCTAGGCTAGCATATACTTTTTGTGCAAGAAATGTGTCCAAATGATCTATAATCATAGCTACTCAGGAGGCTGACATCTGAGGATTGTGGTTTGAAGCCAGCTTAGGCTGGATCTGTGAGGTGGTTATCTTCAGCACACTTGAAATCTTTTTTTTTTTTTTTTATTGTGATAATACCATACAGAGGAGTTACATGGGCAAGATAATTAGTACATTTCTTATCAAGCATTTTTGCCTCCTCGTTTCTCCTTCCCATCCCACACTTGAAATCTTAAATCACATTTATATCTTGTTGCAGTATTTATTTTTATATATAACAAGTGTATGTGCTGTCACTTAGCTTTGTTTCTCAAGGATGATGCTCTATTATTTCAGCCACAGCTCCACTTCTGGCTTTTTGGTGGTTAGTTGGAGATAAGAGTCTCATAGACTTTCTTGCCTATGCAGGCTTCTACCTGCAATCCTTAGATCTTAGAGTTGAGCCACCAGCATTTGGCTGTTCTTAGAGTGTGTCTTAATTATTCCTTAA